TGTCTGCAGCTGTTTCAAAGAGAAGACACATCTAGTTTTCTACTTGATGTGTTACCTGTTGAACCCACAAACAGCACCAAGAGAACACTGCCCTGACCATGCACAAGCACAATCACACACTCATGACTGGACAGTTACCAGCGCCTCCACTGGGTCAAGGTAAGGAACCAATGAATCAACAAAACGAGGACTCAAATCAAGCTAAAAACAAAAAACAAGCAAGAACCAGACATGTCAAAAAATTTGTACCTGACCCATATTCCCTCTGAATTAAACTTCAGACTCAGAGTGACAATGCATCTTCTCTCACATACAGAGATACATAAGCTCATCTTTGGTTCATTACCCCCGCTCATGTCTCCAGTTAACAAGTGATAAAAGCAACAACCAGACATCTCTCTACTCTGCTACCTTTGACCCAGGGACTGTGCTGCCACCAAGGTAACATTAACCAGCCTGACAACCCTGAAATCATCAACAACAGCACAAGTTCTCTCTGTAACGTTTGCTGGATTAAAAGGTGGCCAGACCCTAAGTTGTGCATCTGCAACCGCACTTTACAACTACAAAAACTGAATATAAATGAACGGCTGAATATGGCTTTTAAATTAACCACTAAACACTTGCCAGCAATCAAAGATAACGTTCCACTGGAATATAATACTACGTAATGACAGCTGCAAAATCTAATTTTAACATATAATTCATAACATACATTCAAACAATGTGGTAGCACATTGGTTTTAGTTGATCAATCAACAGAGAATTAACTTTTCTGATAACTGATTGATCAAGTCAACGAATTTACAAGCAAAAATACTAAACATTTTTTCAGCTACTCAAATATAAGTATTGCTGTTTTTCTCTGTTTTCTATCATGGGGGGGGGGGTTGCTGCCCCACCTATTTTAAAATACTTCAAATGTTCTGTATTCGATTCAAGCCAGGTGACATACTTGCAGCTGGTGTTCAGTACTCCACTGATACTCACATATTTATGAAGTCTCTCTGGCTTCTTATTTGTTCAGGAAGTTGCTTACCATATGGAGCCATATTGCATTTGACAAGACCCACTCCATAACTGAGAAAGCAGTGGTGCTTTCTCATATGTTCTCTAATAATGTTGTTCATGCAGTTAACCTTACCTGAAGGTCACTTGTGCAATCATTTATCATGGCTGTGATCACAGGTAAACTGGTGTGTGTTGCAGTGACATAGGGGTACATCAGGTGGTACTTTGGGGCCTGTATTTTCTATGTAGTCCAACTAACTTGTTTGTTTTTTATTTAACAAAAAATTATATTCTACGGTTCATCTTTAAAATAATAGTTATTATAAGAGGGTATAGTACTCAATTTTCTTGTAAAAGCAAAAGGCCTGAAATGAGGCAGAGATAATTCAAGGTCTCACATGTGACACACAGACAAGCTGCAGTGACTTTTGGTGCTCTATAAGTTACATGACAGTAACGTAAACTTCACCGATTTACGGTCCTCATCTCGCCCTTAATCTCCAGCTACTGTGCTGCCGCTGCTTCACAACAACTTTCATATAGCAAGATACTCACCAGCTTACACGGCTGATCATGTATTATGAGTGTAACCTTCCCTCTTACAGTTCATGGACCGTCATTAATTTTTTTTTTCTAGGAATCCTAGCTTCCGCTTCCCGGTCGAAGCGGGACACTGGATTTTAAACTTCCCCAGCGGGGGAGAAGGGGGGGCCGGTTAGATGATTACCACCAGTCGCCAAACAACTCACCAACCTGACCCCTCTCAGTGTCCATTGGTAGTAACAATAGAACGCGGTGATAAATCATTCATAAAGCCAGTGGGACCCACGATCTCTAGATAAAATGGCATCATGTCCACGAATCCCCCGCGTCCACAATGGCAGTGTGCCGCTCCACTGAAGGTGACCTTCAGTTCATTCCTCACATGCTGTCACAGAACATGTGTATCAGTACGACTTTGCACAGTACAAATTGCTCTATTGTCAACTTTATGTACCACACAGTCGGGTTATACTTTACCTGAAAACACAACTTTTTAGTGTATATGCTGGACTTTTAGCAGAGCGGCTGCCTGCTAGTTAGCTGACTAGCCCGGGAGCTAAATAGCTGCTTATTGAATGAGCCGGCTACTGTTAGCATGTAGGCTATCTTGTTAGCCTTTTTTGCTCGCAGTGTATGCCATTTATATGCCAGATTAGATTAGATGCTAATAACTGTGACCTATGGATGCAGAAATTGATGTAATCCTGTTGAAGTTGGGAGCTTGCTAGTTAGCACAGACCAGTCAAGACATCGTTTTATTAACAGCTAATCAACATATGCTGCTAGGAGCGAGATGGACCCACAACGAGAAGAGGCTACCGAGGAGATGATTGAGGGTAGGAGGAGGGGTTAAATCCCACAGACCACCACCAAATCTGAGGGGGTAAATGTCACCAACCGTAGGTCCTACTGGATGCTATGCCAATAAAACCTCCAGGAAACCACATTATTTAAACAGTTAATGCAGAAGGATGCTGGCTTTATGAAGATGTATCATGATTGGTACCTAGCGTATTATGCAAGATGAAAATCACTATGTATAGCCTAATGTCAGGCAGGTGTTGAAACAGCAAATATAAAGCAGTCTGTATGTGCAGGGTGCAGGGTCTAACCACAGCCGCAGGAAACCTTCAGACTTGTCTTGCTGGTTTCGTTACTGTCCTGGGCTCCATCCCCGGCTTCATCCGCAAGATCAACCGGATTACAGTCAGGCACTGACGCCGGGATGTCATCCGTCTTGCTCACCATGGTCAGCAATCAGTGTGGCAACAGAAATCCCCGGCAGCTTTGAGTGAATATGCGAATCTGTAAAATAATGATTTTTTTTATCTCCTTTTCCGGCTAACGCGTGCTAACTGGCTACATGCGAAGGGTACAAGACTACAAAAACAAGTCTTACAGTGGAAGGACAGTGCTGTACATGGTAGTGATCACACGTGGTTTTCCCCTCCCCTCCTCTTGACCTCGTTGCCTTTTTGTCTCAATCCCCACCCACTGAATGTGGTCCTACGGCAAGCCACATGCGACAAATCGTTCTAACAAATAGATTTTTTTTTTTTTTCTTTTTGCTCCTATTTAATCTCTGGGTGGTGTATAAGTTCTTCTGTGCAGGAAGATAAAATGGGAACAGTGTCTGAGTGAAAACAAACTATCACAGTATTGTTACTGCTATCACAACAACCAGAAACTTCAGTGATTTCACTGTCATTTGATAGTTTGACAGATTTTAATTCGCCTTTACTCAGAGTAGCCACACTGTGACAGGACACTGTGTTGGCCTATACACAACTTGTAGATGACCAAAATATGCATATTTAAGCATGGCTGGAGAAACTTGCCAAGGATCTCCAGGGGCAACTTAGCTGCTGTTAAGCCCTGATTTGTGCAGTGTGTGTGTTTTACTATGCCGGACCAGAGCTGCACCATAGTATCAGATTTGTTGTGTGGCAATTCGTTAAGGCACATCAAACTGAGAATATGAATCATAAAATCACAACATAAGACAGGGCCTCCAAGATCGTGAAATAAAGCAAGACTCACTGCAAGGCCCTTATGTCCTTTAACATTTTAGTAGTACAGACTCCTACATTTTCTATAAACGTTTAGTTATTGTCTTGACTTTGAAGGACAAAAGGCATTTGTCATAGAAGTAGTTTTAAAATGTCACAGTAGAAAGAGCAGAGTTTCAGGGTCCTGGTGTTGTTCATGCTGACTCACTGTCCCATCAATACAGCTTACTGGGACAATGGGACAATGGTAGGATTGGAAAGAATACAAAAGATTCTGCATATTTATGATTTCTAACCCCGCTTCCACCCTCCACCACTGAAATAATTCTGTTATTTTATCAAACACTAATGAACCTGCTGAGGGAAAGCTGCAAACACAGCTGGTCACCTCACTGAGTATTTAACCTGTCAAAGACACAAACTGCATCACCAGTGCCCTTATTATTCCACACATAGTGCTACTGTATGTGCTCTTCCAAACTACACAACCTTAGTGTCATCAGTCCACAAAACATTTTCCAGGAAGTGCTGTTGAGTGTTACCGTGTCATGCTCCAAGCAGCCATGCACCATGATCTATGTATGGCAGACTCATGGACAGAGGTGTTAACCAGCCCAGTGGTTCCTTTAAGCTTTTAATTGTTACTCTCGGCCTCTTTTTTTTAACCTGAGTATTCTGTGTTGTTTCTTTGGAGAGTAGCCACAGATTTAAACCATATCTATTCATTCAAGTCTTCTGAAATCTTTTAGTTGGTAGGTATGTTTGAGAGCTGTAACAACAATTTGTCTTAGTTAAAATAGATTGTTTATTCCCATTTGTAACTTAGATGAAGATATGATCACATTTGAAGACAGATTTAAACAAAAGTGCAGCTATTTCCAAAAGATTCACTTAGTTTTTCTTGCCACTGTATTTGTCTCATATACCACCATTATACAGATAAGATACAGTAAAGGTTTCATTTATATATTTCTGAATTCATTTAATCACCTTGCAGTTCATTCAGTTTCAAAAAGAGGCAGACAGAGGACTAGACAATCCTTCATTTTATTTCAGCTATGTGTACAGTAGACCACTATAGGAAGCTAACACAGTATATGCGGTAATCAGTCAACAAATTAATCTGTGGTCCACATGAGGCCCAAAACCATACAACAACCCAGAACAATACCCCTCTGCATTTCATGTCAGGTACCACACAGCATTATTGCTAGAGACCACAAAACAAGTCAAAGAAGATGCTTCATGGTGCCACATAGAGTGTGCACTGATCTCTAAAGTGCCAAATAAACTTATGTAACCTCAGCCAGGACTGACCCCAAGGACAGGACCCAGGGAAGTAAAAAAAAAAAAAAGAAAGAAAGACTGCTGCTGACATTTGACATTTGTTTTCATTGTTATAATGAGGATTAGGGTTATGATATCAGTATTTAGAAAGATGAAAGACATTCGCTGTGGGTGTGAGTAAATGATCTACTTTCTTGCTATGCATGAGTGATGAGAGCGATAAGTTTTATACTCTGAGAAGTAGAAAAAGCAAATCAAGCAGTGAAGATTTACTCTCTTTACCTGGAATATGAATCAAAAGATCTCTTCATTAAGGCATCACACCATTCGTCTTCATGCTAGTTTTAGTGGTGGCCCACTTTGTTTTTCCCTCAAAGCAGTCACCATCTCTGAGTTGCATGTACTATAGTAAAGATGCATACAGCAGCCAGTAGTTTGATTATTCAGCCAAGGTGTTACATAATATAAAAGCCTAGATCATCTAAATGTGAGAGGATGCTGGGATGTGATAGCTGGATGTTAGATTATGACAGTTGGATGGTGAGTTTGTTCTACCTGTTGTTTAATTTGGCGGAAAGGTGGAGTGATGAAGTGATTAAATCTAACAGTCTAAGTTCAGGATTCCTGTTGGAAAAGACAGCTTTGTAGATTTATCCCTTACTGTCTCGTACAACTCGAGGAAGTATAGTGCACACAGTCAAGCTACAGTAATGGCTTCCCAGCTGAGAGGTCAGTGAACAGCCTCATCACATTTGTCTTTTTGCTGAAAAGAAGACAGGTTTAGTTTGTTTTCGTCCAAACAGTCTCATGCTGCATAATAATATGCCTGTTTATTTACTGCTGCTTCACATTCAGCATAGCCTTAATTCCTCTGCTTCCTCTCCTATAAACTGTAACATAACAACTGGCAGAACTTCGTATGTGAAACAATCATTAGACACTTCAGAAAAATATTAAGCAAAACATACTGACCTCAAAAAATACAAAATTAAACAATCTTAAAATTGATTTAACACCTCAAGTGTCTTTAAACCAGCTGACACAACCTACTAATATATAAATATATTGCTTTATTTAAGATACACTGCTAAAACATAATGCTAAACTTCTAACCAAAAGCTATAGAAGGCAAGAAAAGCCTCACAGCGACGAATCACAATTAAATTCAGTCTTACAGGATGGCTCATGTCAAAAACTGCGGTTACTAATGCTCATTTAAGTCATGGCTCAAGTATCAGTTGACTCTGACACAACTCGGAATCAAAAATAACCGAGGTGCCACATTACATACCGTAAACCTGTATATGCATATCCCAAAGAGTCATATAAAAAGTTGCTGAGACCAAAGAACACAATACTTAAGTAAAGAAATGCCACAAGTTTCCACACTTTGTCCTGGGTCCTGCTTCTTTGTGTACACACTGAATTTCTTATGTCCATGACTCCTCTAATGCGAGGTCGTAATTACAGTGAGGAACTGAGCAGACAGTGAATTCATAATCGGCACTGATACATGTAAGCGTCGTAAGAAGTATGTTTTTAGTATCAAGTATTTTAACATTGAAGGTGTTAAGATTTTTCTTCTACTGAATTTTTTTTTCAAGATACTAGTTGTACACACACACACACACACACACACACACACACACACAGTCACTGTCTTGGTTGTGCATTTTGACATGGCTACTTTGGGAATCTGTGCAAAAGGAAGAAGGAACACATATTTGAAACATGTCAAAACCTACAGTCATGTTCTTGTCTGCCCATTTTTTTCTAGATGTAAAACACACAAACATACAACATAAAAAAACAAAACCACAAAGACAGATGAGTTGAAGTAGCAGTTGTGTGTATGCGTGTGTGTTTATTACATGAATCACACCTGAGTGAAATGACTCAGAACTGATCATCACCTGAATGTGGCCTGTTCACTACACACTTGTGCCTCATTGTGTATCGTTTAGTACAACACACAGACTAAATATTGTGCTGTTTAGCCCAAGAGGCAAAGCTGCAACGTGGCCAAAACTACAGCTGACTGAACTTTCCTCCACCTAAAACAGGCACTGAGGAAAGAGCAAGTGCTGTGAATTTTGTTTTCATCTTTGAAGAAATACTTAACAAGTGATATATTAATTATTTAGCTGCAGTATTATCAGAAGATAATTATAAAACATGAGTGAGAATGATAATATGAAATGGGAACATGGCTGTATTTGCTTTTTTTGACACTTAAAATGTTTTATTTTTACAATAGACCATGGTCTGGAAAAAAAAAGAAGGGCTGAGCTGCTTTAAAAAAAAAAAGCAGCTCAGTGTGCAGTGATGTGGAGCAGTGACATTACCTTTAAATGTATTATATTATGGACACTTACCATTAGAAATAAAGGTAGGTTGTGGTGTCATTGTGATCTCTTTGTAAAGTTTGTAGACACTTGAAATGGTGGTTAGCTTATAGACTTGTGCACAGCGAAATTTGTTTTAGCAGGAGAAGCTACTGAGTATGATCAAAAATGAGTGCTCTCCATTTAGCCAAATATGTTCTCATACTAGTGTACGACATCACCTGAGGGAAGTATAGGTACGGTGGTGGTGTGGCTGTTGAGTGGTGTGTATGAGCTGCCAGCAACAAAGTTCACTGAAGATGTTCAGTCAGCCTCGAGCCACCATGACGGTTTCTGATGTTTCCCACTGAAATGAAAGCTTTTACAGAATGAAACCATTGTTAATGTCCCTGCTAACACCTGCGCTCCCCTTGCTTGTCCTTCCTACACAAACATCTGCCCCCATGAGGCGATTTATAGTTGTCCTTGAAAGGTCACAGCTGTTTGTGCAACACAGCTGGGCATGTAATCCATCTAAAATGGCTGCTATCATAGTCAGAATCAAAATCAAAATGGGGTTGCTTTCAAATAAGGCCCCACAGGATACAAAGGATGTGACACCAGTGTAAATAGATCGCTAAAACTTCATTTAAGACTAATTTAAAGTGATCTCTACTGAGTTTTGCTTTGCAAGTTAAGTTATATCAAAGTACATATTAAAAAAGTTTCTGTGATAAGTGTAATATAATTCACTAGCTAAAACCAGCCTCAGTATTAATTTAGTCAAGGTGCAGAACATCAGCATTAACAGTCTGGCGGACAATAATCATACAGTGATCAAACTGCAGTTCAAGTCACAGCAGTCACTACTCTGCCTTTGTCTCAGCAGCAGGGGGCGCTGCAGCTGAGCACACTAGTCTGGCAGCTTCATCCTGGGGCTCCACCGGCCCCTCCCCACTCCCTTCCTCCTCCTCCTCCTTATCTAGGCACAGAGGAGGCTGTCTTTGTGCCATAGTGTGCCTGGAGCGAGTTCTTTGCCTTCGTGGGTGGAGGAAGAGTGCAGGGTCTGGCATGGCCATGGGCTCTGCAGGGCCCATCACTTTCTCTATGGGCACACACTCCCGTGCACGCTCCACTCTCAAAGATGTCCTAATGCTCTTGCGCTTGGGTTTGACCACTGGAGAGGAAGGGGAGGCTCCTGATGACACCTGTGGGGAAACAGAGCTCTGCTCTGTACCGTACTGGGACACTTGACTGTTGGCTCTGGCGAGGAGTCCCTGTCTCTGCTGCATCCGTTGGTGGTGAAGTTTCTGCCTGGCAGCGTGCAGCTGGAAGGAGAGGTATGCTGCTGCTTCTGTTTGTTTTTGCAGCTCTGTGTTAAGGATGGTTGAACAGTGGCTGCGACGTTTGAGCTCTTCCAGGAAGTGGCGTTCCTTTTCCTTGAGATTGGCTCTGAGGGCGCCCACCAAAGCTCCTTTGTGACTCAGCTCCTTACGAAGTTCTCCTAAGGTGCACTCCTGCTCAGCCAGATGGTTTTCCATGTCCTGACAGTGGGCCTCCAGGAGCTCCTCTTCCTCCTGTAACTCTAAGATGGACCAGAAATGCAAGGGTTCATTATAAACATACATATAAGAGTTAAAATGAAGTGTGTCTACATACAGTATGTCTCACAGTGTATGGAAATACAAAGAGTAACCAATCACAAAAATAATCAGAATACTCGTTCAACAACTTACTACAATGCACGGTCCTATCAGCACACACAGCAGTTTATGCAAACCATATATAGCATATCCATACAGTTTAATACCTCCTGTGCATGACTACAGAGGCAGCATACTCATCTCACTTCTGTAAGCACAGCTAAGCATTTACTGGGCCACAGTGTCAGCAGCTTTAATCCTCAGCACATATTACCGCAGAGTCTCAACTCAGATGTTTTCCACATCATATTTTGGTTGAGACCCACTCAGGTAAACACACATGACAGAAATTAATGGGACCAAAACTGAATATTTAGAAGATAACCAGTTTGATCTCAAAGTCTAATGAGGAAAAATAGTAGTATGCGGGGGCTTGAGAGCAGGTTCAGCA